GTTGGCTACATTATAGACAACTACATGAGATGTATAAGGAAGATAATAAGAAAGGGTTTAGTTATACAACTTCCAGATTTCAAAAGGAAGTTATAGAAGAAGGGAAGCTGCTGAAGAAAACATATAGTATTCTGCTAGAATGGGAAACAAAATATGAGGAGGTCAAATCAGTCATGATTAAATGGGCACAACATATAGGACATAATATGCAATTTGAGGACTGGGGAAAATTGTGGAAAGTAAATCTGAAATTTACAGATTGTTCTCTTTTGAAAGAAAATTATATGAAAATGATGTACAGATGGTATATCATACCAGTACAAATAGCAAAAATGTACAAAACTGGGTCAAATATATGCTGGAAATGTAAAGAAAAAGAAGGTACTTTTTATCGTATGTGGTGGGAATGTAGAGAAGTAAAAAAAATTTGGGAAATATATAACGAATTGAAAAAAAAAATTTTTAAAATGACATTTGCAAAAAACAACAACCAGAAGCATTTTTGTTAGGGATTGTAGGACAAGACCTGCCAAGAAAAATAAATAAATAAAAATTTATATATGCTACAACAGCAGCAAGAGTCTTGTTAGCACAAGGATGGAAGAACGAGGAAATCCCAACGAAAGAACAGTGGCAAGACAAATTGACGAGCTATGCGGAATTCACAGTATTCACAGTAGTGATGTATGGAAGTGAGAGCTGGACCATAAAGAAGGCTGATCACCGAAGAATTGATGCTTTTGAATTATGGTGCTGGAGGAGACTCTTGAGAGTCCCATGGACTGCAAGAAGATCAAACACATTCATTCTGAAGGAAATCAGCCCTGAGTGCTCACTGGAAGGACAGATCCTGAAGCTGAGGCTCCAATACTTTGGCCACCTCATGAGAAGAGAAGACTCCCTGGAAAAGACCCTGATGTTGGGAAAGATGGAGGGCACAAGGAGAAGGGGCGACAGAGGATGGTTGGATAGTGTTTTCGAGGTTACCAGCATGAGTTTGACCAAACTGCGGGAGGTAGTGGAGGACAGAGGTGCCTGGCGTGCTCTGGTCCATGGGGTCACGAAGAGTCGGACACGACTAAACAACAACAACATGTGGAATTGGCCAAGTTGACATATAAACTGCGTGACAAGGACAATTGTGACTTCAAGGAAGAATGAGAACTTTTTACAAACTACTTTAAAAGACAAAAAAAATTGACTTGGACTCCTTGGCAGGTTTTGAATAAACATTCACAAATTTATTAGTTGAATAAATGATAGACAAGGCAAGAATATGTACAATTGTATAATATGCAGAGAACAATATGTGCAAAGAAACCAGAGAGAGGAGCTGAGGGAAGTCTTGGGGGGGGAGGGGGAAAATAATGTAATTGAATACTTGGATTGATAAATTGTTATGTTGAAATTGTTTAATAAAAATATTTTTTTAATAAAACACTTTGGGTTTTATCCAGCTAAGTTATATTTCAGAGTAAACACACTGAACTGGATGGTCATGTCCATTAGGGCTACCACTGGGTGAGGCCCGGCAGTTCTTGTCGAGTTTAGCTCTTTAAAACCTGACAAAATTTGTGCATGTCTGGCCTTTGGCCACCTCAGTGAGGTAAAATGAACAGGACGCCACATAATATCCAGGGCTTATTTATACAGAGGTTTCAGTGGCAGTTTCTATTTTCTGAGTGATGCTGGCATAATTACACTCTGCATTTTTAAAAAAACTGCCACTTACTAAGTTCACCCCCACCCCATGGTCAGTTAAACATTTTTTATTTCAGGTATCTATTATGAGTTTTTAACTGATTTTATCTATATTGTATCTGCTGAGCTTGATATACACCAATCAAAGAAAATTGTAATTAAGAGGATGTAAACTAAACATAAAGCTATTTTCTCTCACCACTACTTTAAGCTGAATGTTTTTGAAGGGGCCAAGCGGTGCTTTTTCTGGAAAAAAGGTGGAGGAACTCGCCACAAAGTTTGTTTGTTTGTTTGTTTGTTTACTGTGGGCCCAGTCACAGTGCTAAACCCCTGGGCAGTGGATAAATGTAAGATATAATTAATAAACTCAAGCAGACAATGATTTGGATTAGAAATGGCCACGACTTTGATTACACCTATAGGTGGATTTTTAGCACAGGCATTGGGTGTATATCCATTCCAGCCCTCCCACCCCACAAAAAGACAAAATAATAATTATTATTTAATTTTTAAAAGTTAAGGCGACTCAGTTCCCCTGAGCTCTTGCTCAAAAAAACACCCCCTGGGGCCAAGTCTGTCTGGAGTTCATTTAGATGCACAATTCTGCCTTCGCCGAAGAAAAACGCTAAAGGTGGGCAAGCAGCAACATTTTTTAACATGATGAAAAAGTGGCAGCCACTGTCTGCTGAACCCCAGCTATGCTCAGCCTCTTAAGTCTGCAGTCCTACACACACTAACCCCATTGAGCCTAGTGTAACTTACTCACAAGTAAACATACAGAGGCACCTGCCACTCCTGATCTTACACAATGCTAAGGTGATGAATACTCTTGTTTCACACGTACCAGACATGTCAAGGCACATGCAGAAGACAGATTTGAAGAGACCCAGACTGCACCTCTTGCCTTAAGACACCCAAAGGATGGTTGCCAGGAATGGTTTTTTAATCTACTTTCCCCAATTTAAATCTGGGGCATTTACGCAAACACCTAAAAGGGCATGCCAGGAACAGCCCTATTTTAGGGATTTCCAATTGCTGGTGGCAAAGGACCCCTCTCCAATTGCGCTGGCAAAATACCTCGATCCAATTCCACACTAGGCTTACAATTGCATCTTCTTCCAAGTATTACATCAAGGGAACATTTCAAAAGAAATGCAGGATGGTCCGTAACCTTTCGTGAAGTGATGAGTTGTATTAACATTGTAACAGTGGTATGATATTGAGGAATAAAGGGCTAGAGTGTCAAAGCTGGGGTGGTGAGCACAGACCTGCATATCTATTTTCAGAAACATTATTTAATAACTCCTTGTGTAACTTGCAGCATCAAGCCCCACCAGCTTTTTCACAGCAACAACTGTGCGCACTGAAAACTTAGGGCGACACTGAGAAATAATTGCACGTTTCTCTTCATTCAAGGGCTGATTATTGTCCCACCTTTCTGTCATCCGTGTATTTATTTTTGTCTCTCTTAGTCTGCATCTGCAATAATGGGATAGGATGACAGAAAAAAATGACCTACTTTACTAATTAGATATAAAGAACTCTTGAGATAATGCGCACGGTAAGCTTTCAGCCTTTAGAAATGGTGCCTCAGTGAATGTGTTTTTTTATGCCACGAAAAAGCAATAAGGAGACATTACTTGATCAGTCTGGGATATTAGAGCCATGGTTCTTCTGTTTTCATGTTATTGTGATCTCATGTTTTTAATATTTTGGAAATCCATTTATCTGTTCAGTATACATCTCTTAAGATATATCACATCATATCCGGAGATCAAGTAGGAGGTTTTCATCTATGTTTGGATACAAATGGATGACAAAACCTTTCAAAACTGCCGATTTTAACCAATGATTTCAAAACTGCCCTGATTTATTTTTTTGTTTCTTAGTATTACTGAGCAACGCTGGATACAAGGTTGCTGGTTTCTTGTACAGTACAGTAGTGCCCCGCAAGACGAACGCCTCGCAAGACGGAAAGCCCGCTAGCGAAAGGGTTTTCCGTTTTGGAGGCGCTTCGCAAAACAAATTTCCCTATGGGCTTCCTTCGCAAGACGAAAGCCCATAGGGAAATCTCCGGGACAGCGGGGAAGGCTGCTCTGAAGGCTGGCGGCGGGAGGAGGTCTCTCTGCCCCAACGGCAGCCTTCAGAGCAGCCTTCCGAAGGCTGGCGGCGGGGCGGAGAGACCTTCTCCCCGCGCCAGCCTTTGGATGGCTGTCCTGAAGACTTGCGGTGGGAGGAGGGTTTTCCTTCCCACCGCCAACATTCAGAATGCTGTTCTGAATGTTGGCGGTGGGGAGGAAAAAACCCTCCTCCCACCGCAAGCCCCGGGAACAGAGGAGAAGTGCTGTGCACCTTCCCCTCTGTTTCCGTACCTGTCCTGAAGGCTTGCGGTGGAGAGAAAAGCCCTTCTCTGCACCGCCAGCCTGGCAAGCGGTCTCCATAGGAACGCATTGAAAATCAATGGGAAACCGTGCTTCGCAAGACGAAAAACTCGCAAGAAGAAAAAACTTGCGGAACGAATTAATTTCGTCTTGCGAGGCACCACTGTATTTGTATCCATTTAAATTGGGAATTGCAATCACTGGCGATGTAACAACAGTCCTTGAATGGGCTCCAATAACTTTCCCTTTCCCCCTCATTCATTTGCTCCAGTCTGGGGTCCTCTCTCTCCCCCAGTATCCAATTTCCTTCCCCAGTGAGCACTTTTGCTGGTATATCTAGCCCTCAAGTGACATGGGCAGCAGCGCACAGTGAGACCGTGGCCACAAGCAGCAGATGAGGCCAGCACATCTGTTTCGGACTGCAATTCCCAGCAAGTCAGCATGGGCATTTTGGACTAAAACTCCCAAGAGCCCCAGACAGCATGACTGGACAGATGTGCGTAGTCCCAAAATACATTGAGGGCTCCAGGTTGGGAAAGGCTACAGCATGCAGTTTGGATCCCTGTAGTGTTCTCACCTTGTGTGTATTTTTAATTGATTCAACCAGAAAATCACATAATGACATTATAGGATCCATTTACAGTGGTACCTCTGGTTATGTACTTAATTCGTTCCATAGGTCCGTCTTAACCTGAAGCTGTTCTTAACCTGAAGCACCACTTTAGCTAATGGGGCCTCCTGCTGCTGCCGTGCCACCACCGCGTGATTTCTGTTCTCAGCCTGAAGCAAAGTTCTTAACCCGAGGTACTATTTCTGGGTTAGCAGAGTCTGTAACCTGAAGTGTATGTAACTGAAGTGTCTGTAACCCGAGGTACCACTGTATATATTTGCTTGTAACATCAAAACAGAAGAAAGCCATTGCATTTGAAGTCAGGTTTAATTAAGTTTGCGTACATGTGTGGTAATTTTGATGCCAGCTACGGCTTCCTGATATTGTTTCCATAGTCAAGTCAACATCAGCGCAGTCCAGCAGACAGACAGGAAAGATATCAAAAGCATACAAAAATCATAATAGTCATAACAATCCCACACCCCGTACATTGTTTCTGTGCATTTAAACAACTGATTGGTACAAATATATATATATATATGATTAAGACTGCAAAACAATTTTTGATACCGTGACAGTTTCAGGCTAAATTGAAGGTGGAAAGACCCTTTTCCCCATACCTAATAAATAGCCTTTGCCAGAACCTGCTATTAAGGTAGTGTTGCCTTGTGCTGCCCCCTGGTGGATAAGATGTGTGTTAATGGGCTGGGCAAGGTGCCTTCAGTATGCACAAGTGAGCGTGCATATAGACACATACAGTCTTAATTTTTTATCAGGCAAAATGAAACATTTGCCCAGGTTGATACTGGTGCAAGCATATGAGTCACAATTAGGTGTTTCTCAGATTGGTGCTCCAAGCAAAACCAAAAGTATCGCACAATAATGTGTGATAGTCTTAATTTATACATTAACAACACAGCAAATCTACAGGTGGCAAGGCCCAGTTTATAGTCCTTTGCTTGTGGTGTGTTCTGTATTTGCTCAAAAGCAGGCTTGCCTTCATGACCACATCACATGTTTTGAGCCTTGCCACTGAGATCTGGTCCTGGAGCTTAGCCTTTCGCCCCCCAGATTAAGCCTGATGCATTTGTGAGGTCATGACACACCTCAATTTGTTCCAGGCCTCACCTCCTTCCTTATCACCTCTTCAAGCAAGGCGGATGACAGCTGGGAATGCGGACTTACATTGTTAAAAGACCCTGTAATAAAGCTTCCTAACAACTTACTGCTCAGTTCCCCCCAGAGATCTCCCAGATAGAGGTGGCCCTAAGACTTATATCCCCCATGCTCAATGACAAGAAGCTATACTCTCAGCCCTGCCATGGGATTTCAGATAGGGCTCTGAAGAACAGGGAGGGAAACATAAACTCAGGAAAAGAAAGGTGCTTGTAAGGTTATGCTGCTTTTATACCAATAGTCTTGCTCCCAATAGCCTTGAGGCTTTGCTGGACTGGCGAAGCAAAAGGTAGGGAACAAATCCCAAGTGAAGAAGTTTGGAATTCATCAACCGCCTTGCAGCTCAGCTGCACACACATCCATAGCGTGTTCTGCTGGCTGAAAAGAGTTCCGCACATTATATATCTAGCAATTGGCCCTCTTTGGAAAAAGATGCTCATATATTACACCAGTGGAAAGCAATTGGCAGCCTGCAGGGGGGGGGGGAATCTCACCCATGGATGATTGACAGTTGACCACCTTTCACATGTGCCCTCTAGTGGTAAAAAAAAAACCCTTCTCCTGGCTTAGTCTCTCTCCCAGGAGAGGCATCGCACTGCTACAGGCTGTTACAGCCAAGGCCACTGGAAGGAAGAACAATGCGGTAGGGGGAGATTCCTATAACTCCGCCCTAGACTTTTAGCCAGCCTTGTTGCCAACCATTGCATTACACACAACCCCAGGACTAATCCCCAACACTGAAAGGTTCCCCCCCACCCCAAGGCTCAGTTGAAAGTTAACAGGAGAGGCACAAAAGAGGACGTCCAAATGCTGAAGCACACCACTGCCCGGCTCCTGTGCTCTGTGCTGCAGCGTCTGGAAATATGCTTGTCATTCATTTGCTCAGCAAGATGATTCTTCAGTGTGTTTGATGTGGCAGGACTTGCAGAGGAGGTGGCTTCCCAGAGGGTAGCAGCCCTCTTCTGTGGGTTCTGGGGACAGCAAGACCCAACATCTCTGCAGAATGAAAGGAACAAATAGAGTGTTTGTCTGTGGTTAGCGTCCCTTTATGGGAAGGGTTGCAGCTCTGTGGCAGAGCACCTGCTTTGCATGCAGAAGGTCCCAGGTTCAATCCCCGCTGGCAGCATCCCGTTTGGGCTGGGAGAGACCCCTACCTAAAACCCCGGAGAGCCATTGCTGCCAGTCAGTTGGGCTGATCAATGGTCTGACTAAATATAAGGCAGATTTCTGTGTTCCTGTGTCACAACAGTTTAAAACTATTTGTGTGGGCCTTCTCAATACAGATCCCGAATGCTCACACCTTATTACCAGTGTTAGAAACTGAGACATGAAAGCTAGGAGCTAAATGGCACCTTAAACCTAGGTTTTGGGCACAACAATGGAATGTCTAGGTGCACTTTTTTATAACAATACAAAGCTGAAAATGAATGAACTGCAGCTAAAATATTATGTTCATTTTTCAGGTGCTCTAGTCCTTCCCCTGCCTACCCCCCTAATATTAATATTAAGAGGGTCTCTTCTCCAGTCTTCATCAGAAACTAGCTGGAAGTTGAGAGGCAGAAAAAGGTCCTCTTTTCCTTCCATTCTGCAGTTTCAGTCTGAAATCTTAGGTACAGTACTGCACCCAGAGCTCAGAAACTGCTTGCCCTAATGAAATTCCCTGTCACAAAATGTGTATAGAACAATGGAAGTTTCGAACACTGCTTATTACCTATTTACAAACAATGCAAAGAGGTTCATACTAGTCCTTCAAACACAGCTCTAGTGCATTTGTTCATATGCCCCCTCTTTTGTTATAAAGGAACTATCGATAATATTTTGTCCTGTCCACATTCATTTGGCGAGCTGCAACTTGGGAGTCCTGGAGATGTCGGGACCTTTCACATTCAAAATAGACGCTCCACCACTGAGCTGAGCTGCAGTCCTTCCCCTGATTCTCCATCTCTCTCTGTTATTCCTCGTTTACTTTTGATGTATGATTGAAAACCTTTGAATTGTATTTCACATTTTAAAGAATGGCACTCGCCTTCAAACATGGTTCATGGTGATAATCTTGGCTAGTCTCCCTCCCACACATCTCACTGCATGACCTCAGCCATTGGACACCAAACCCTCTCCCAGGCTTACTTCACAGCGGTAGCAGTCCTCATGGAAGTTTTGCCCCATGCACTCTATCTTGTATGAGTCCCTTCCGTCACTTGGGATAATGGGCCTCTCACAGGCACTGCACACAGAAGCATACTTCCTGAAGGGGGAGAAGACAGGTTGTGACTGTGATTCCCTCTGCATGTCCATGGCACAAACTTTATCTTATCCCAAATACTTCTTAAACTCTGCATGATTTGTGTGCATCATTCAGAGCACCCCAGACGTCAACTTTGTTGGTATGAGGAACAGATTAAATCCACCTTTCAAGAAGTGCTTAGTTCTTATCGCCATACCTGTAGAAGTCATCTAGGCAATGCACAGCATCGTCGTCGCCAACAGCAAAGACCTCGTCGCCAATGGCCCGGTGGCATACGACACAGGTGAAGCACTCCGGGTGGAATCCATGGCCCATGGCCCGCACAATTTGGTTCACAATTAAGGCCTGGCACTTTCTACACTTCTCCAGGGTGTTCTGGGAGGGCAGGATGTATCCGGAATGAAGCAGAGAGATGTTAGATGCAGATTTTCAGTGTCCTGATTGAAAGGGGTCAATAGCATGCATTCTGATGCTTTCCTCAAAACACTCAGTGTGTAAGACACCACGGGTTGTATCCAACCAAGACCTACTCAGAGTAGACACACTGCACTGCAGGGGGTTGAACTAGATCAGGCATAGGCAAACTCAGCCCTCCAGATGTTTTGAGACTACAATTCCCATCATCCCTGACCACTGGTCCTGTTAATTGGGGTGATGGGAGTTGTAGTCCCAAAATATCTGGAGGGCCGAGTTCGCCTATGCCTGGACTAGATAACTCTTGGAGTACCTTTCAACTCGACAATTCTATGAAATTAAGGAATCTAAGTAAGTCATGGATGGATTTACTCAATAGATTTACTACCCTCCCCGTAAAAACCATAAGCCCGGTAAGCCATAAGTCTGTAATCTAGAAATAAACACTAATGGCACCAGGCCTCCTTCCCTGGGGAGACTATTCCACAATCAGGGAGCCACCACTGAAAAGTCCCATTCTCATGTTGCCCCCCCCTCCACACCTCTTTTGGAGAGGGCACACAAATAAGGTCCTTGGGTGTCCTGTGGACCTTGAGCCACAAAGCCGGGGAGAGGAGAAGAGGCAGAGATATTTACCTGGTAGCAGGTGACACACAGGGGCCGTCCCTCTTTCTGGTAGTAGCGCTGCCCCACCAGGGCACTGTGACATGTCCGGCACGTGAAACAGTCAGCATGGTACTGTTTGTTCATCGCCTCAAGCGTGGGAGTCCCAGGAGAGATGTTTTTGTGACAAAAAGCACAGATATCTGGAAGAAAGAATCACATGGGCTTCCATCCGACAAAGTTTTACTCATAGCAGACCCACTGAAATTAATGGGCTAAGCAAGTAATAGACATTAACTTCAATGGGTCTACTCTGAATAGGACCAGCACTGGATGCAATCCTATATGTTTTGAGTCAGTGGGTCCCTTTCTCCCAAGGTCAGTCCATGGAACCTTTGTAAAGAGTACCACCTTGGAAATACAGGTGACTCTCAGCTTACATGGGTGTTGTCAGTGTTTGTAAAAAGCAAAAAAAAAAGGAGGAAAGGGTTCTGACCTCCCTTTGTCTCCTCAGCCTGGTCCTCGGACCCTTGTCGGCATAAAAGAGTCCACGAGAATATCCTTGCAGAGTTTTATTCTTAAAAGTCTTTGTGCAAAACACGACTGAATAACTATACACACCAGCACTAACCAACCAACCAACCCAAACACCAGCCTCAGCCAAAAAGTCATTTTTCCTGGACTCCTGCTCCATTTCCACCCCCTTTTTAATTTTTTTGCTAAGTACGTAAAGCTACACACACACTAATTAAATGTGCATAAGTTGTGAGTTACCTGTAATAATTCTATGCAGCCCCCAAAAGAACCGATTTCTACACATACATATTCCTTCTTGGTGTGAGTTAATTCTCACCTTTTGCAACACTATTCTCCACCTTCCTCTCTGTCTGATGCTCACCAGCCCAGCCAAGGGTTGAAGTCATAATTTTAGGTTGCCTCGGTTCTGCTGCAAAGGTTGAAGTTGTCTAGAAAACAGGAAGAAGTAGACAAAGGCAGGCTGAGCACCTTCACAATATATTTCTGGGTGGCAGAGGTTAGCTTCAAAGGTATGAACAAATGAACCACAACTGATGCTTTAAGGGGCTCTTGTGCCTTTAGTGAAAAGTTTACTTTTTGCAAGTTCAGACCACTTTATTGCTTCCTGTTGATCATGGTAGAAGATTAATAGCCTCTTTTAACAACCTCAGTGTCAGTTTCTGTCCCTGGGGGCAAGCAGGGGGAGCTTTACTAGTTACCCCTCTCTTTCTTTTTAAAAGATTAAAGAACCTTTGCTAAATGGGACTTATTTGTGAACAAACATTGCAGAAGGATGTTTGCCACAAGTAGAGATATTGCTGGATAACATAGACTTATATTAAATATTTGTGTAGATGTTCTAATTCAGCCTCCAGCTAATTGTAGGAAAACAATGCCTTAGCTAGGTTTAAGGGCTCAAATAAGGAAGCAACTATCGCCTGGGTCCTCGATAATAACAAATAGAACAAACTGATACGAAGTCATGTGGAACGAGCCCAAGAGAGAAGAAACTACCCACGTATTGCATTAAAAAGTGACTGTCCAGATAGATCCTTCAGCAGAAATAAGGTTACCTGCAAGGATGTGGGGGAAACTGATGTTTGTGTCTGGAGATCAGGACCAAGTGTCTCCACTGAGAAAGGTTTAGCACATGGTGGTGGTGGAGGAAAGATGCTATCCAGGCTAGGGTCCACTGCATTACAGGACAGGATGGGAGGAGTTGGCAAGGCAGAACAACCTGAAACAGACACAGAACGACAGCTGTCTTAAGGACTCAAAACTTGGTTTAATCATCTTTGTACATTTTAAAAACAAGAGGTTAAGCAGCTCAAACTTGTTCGGAAGATATGCTAGGGAGATACCAAGAAACCCCAACCCCTACTGCTTAACCCTTGATAGTGTGGGAGGCTAAGGGATTATTCTTAAACATACTCTAAACAAGCTGAGGGATCATTATTACTCTTCCAGATTCTGATGCCCAGAACTGAAAGCAGGAAGGGCCCATAGGTCAGTGGTCAAGCCCCTGTCTTGCATGCAGAAGGCCCCAAGCTGAATCCCCAATGGCATCACCCAGTAGGGCTGAAAAAGACTCCTTGCCTAAAATCCAAGACAACTGCTGCCAGTCAGAGTAGACCTTCTGAGCTAGAGGGAACAAAGGTCTGACTCTGTCAAATGCAGCTTCCTCTCTTCCTACTACACTCTATGAAGGTACAGTGAAGGCCTACTGCTAGCACTTTGCAAACACCTATTGGAACACAGAAAGTTGCCTTATTCCAAGTCAGACCATCGAGTCCATCTAGCTCAGTTTGGCCAACACTAACTGGCAGCAATAGCTCTCTAGGGTTTAAGGTAAGGGATCTTTTCCCTGTCCTACCTGGAGATGCTGCCGCCAGGGATTGAACCTCTGCCACAGAGCTACAGCCCTTAGTTGAATGCTTGTATTTTTAATTGATTCACACTTCTGGCCCTAGATATGGGCTCCTCAGCTGAGCCTTGGCTAAAGGGGAGCACTTCCAGGACAAGGGTCTTGGCCAGCTGTCCTCTCTGTCCTCTCTGTGCTTCCCCTGCACCTGGGACAGACTACGGCATCACTTCACTGTGATTTCAGTTCCTCTCACCTCCATTGGAAATGCCCACTGTCCCTCTATAGCAGCCTCTGCTCCCTTTAACAGCACCAGAAGATGTTTGGATCAGGGAGGGAGCAGCAGACTTCAATGCCTCCTTGGAGAGGCTGTTGCTGGGTGGAAGTTGAGTCCTCTGTGACTTTGCTTCACTTCTCACCATGTGGTCCCTTCTGGGTGGAGTGAGGGTGATGAAGATGGATGAGGCAATCCGTTTCTCCACCTTGTTGGACAGCATTTTCTCCTGGGACAAAGAACAGAGGGCGAGACATTTGGGGTTGTGGTCCTGCAAGGCCCCGTTTCCAGAATCTTTCCATCTCTCCAGCGGTTTGGTTATTTGGTGGGGCTCGGATGAGCAAGTGAGAGAGAATGACATGGTGGGGAATGAAAGGGTGGGGAAATTTGGGTCTGGGAAAGCCTACTTCCACCCCATCTCTGCTGCAGGCTCTGTGAAGCCACCAGCCTCACTTTTTACATCTGCAAAACATCAACAGCTGCATTATGGTGAAAGGAATCAACATTTTGGGCCAAAATTGCTCAACCAATGCTCCAATATAAGTTTGTTCCATGTCCTGTATGAATTCTGCATGCTACAGCAATTTTGCAATCACAGAATTGTAAAGCTGGAAGGGACCCAATAAAAGGAATCAAAGTTAATTTGCATACTTGTGTTCTGTTGCATGTGGCAAAGGAAGGCAAAGGGCAACATTTCCCTTCTTCTTTCCTTTTCCATCCTCCCAGCTCCACCAGGCATCGCCCACGGAGTGGCCCATTTCATGAACACAGCTTAAAGAGGACAGGGGGCATTGCCTTTTTGGAACATGCAAGTTGAGAGTCTCAAGATGCTGGGACCAACGATGGCAGATGCACAAACGAAACAAACCTACCATGCATGAAAAGCGCTTCACAAAATTTAAAGCAGAAAAAAAGTGGGAAGCAATCAACAACACCACAGAGCAGTCACTGCAAAACAAGAAGCCATTTCTCCCTTTGGCACTCCCGTGCACCAACCTTCCTTCCACCTTTGCTTCAAAAAAAATCTTCATTCCTGGGAGCAGGGAAGGAAAGGAAAAGCTGTTTCTCTGCAGCAGAACAAGACCTGACAGACCAGGGAGCAGCGTTTCAACAGGAGGCCTGACGTGGAGCCAGCCAAGGGATTGCCACAGCCCAGTCCTGAGGCAGCTGCTCTGAGCCACAGCTCTGCCTCATCACCATCCCACAAGGAATGGGGCGGAAGCGATAAGGAAGTGGGCAAAGGGCAGCCCTGCTTCAGGCAGGTGCTGGTTCTGAGGCTCGTCCCCAACGCCCAGGCTGTGTCTGCTGCACTGGAGCTGAACGCCATGGGTCTTTTTTTTACTTCTGCCCCTCTATAACTTGCTAAAAGCATTCCTACGCTTCCCCCCTACTGGGGTGGCATGTGAAAGTTTGTGGTTATGCATAGTTCTGCTCTCCTGTGCAGAATCGGGGGGGGGGGGGAGGCAGCTGCCAGTTTAATTAAATAACAGGGAGCCTGACCTTCTAATTAAACAAGAGGCCACGCCATGCCTTGGGGTCTTCAGGCTTCTCTGGGCGACCATGGAAGATTAACCTGGACACCTCTTTTATCTCCCTGTCCCCTGCCACCCATAATTTCTGGCATTCCTCTGGCTTTTGTCCAAACTCCTGCACCTCAAGGCTTGCAGCTCTGTCTGACTCAAGGGATGCCCCCCTCATTTTCTGGGGAGGCTACCTGGAGCAGGGAGGGGCTATGAGGAGGGAGGGGGTATTTGTCAATTTGGGTTTATCACAATTCCTCATTTTTCCAATAGAGTGGTACCTCTGGTTAAGTACTTGATTCGTTCCGGAGCTCTGTTCTTATCATGAAACTGTTCTTAACCTGAAGCACCACTTTAGCTAATGGGGCCTCCCGCTGCCGTCGGAGCACGATTTCTGTTCTCATCCTGAAGCAAAGTTCTTAACCTGAAGCACTATTTCTGGGTTAGCGGAGTCTGTAACCTGAAGCGTATGTAACCTGAGGTACCACTGTATTAAATTCAGTTTTCCACATTTCCACACCAGTTTGCAATATTTCTTAAGAAGTCTTCATGGGAATTCATAAGCATATTAGTGTGAATTTCTTCTGTAATGTGTTTGTATGCCACACTGCCTAATAAATGTATTTGCAAAACAAGGTTATAATGCAACTCTGAATATTATTTTTATGCTGGTTGGGTGCATATATTCTTAGCTAGAGAGATGCATTGCAAATTCTGGAGAGGTGCAAATTATGAGGGATTGCTATGTTTTGGTTTACAAATTGTTTCAGAAAGTGTGAATTAGGTAAATTCACTTTTAAATGTGAACTGAATTGAATTTGCTGCCCCTGTCTAGCTATGATGGCCAAAAAAAGAGACCCCTTCCTCTCCAGCCACTAATTCTATTGTAACACTTTGGCTTGCAAAGGAACTAATGCTATATTGGCTGTGAAGAGCAGAATAAACACAATAAATATACAAATGTACAAAGCAACATCATTATTATTATTGCAAGAGGAAGCAGAAAATTAAGATTCTGAAGGTGCTAGAGAGGTGATGCTCTGCCTTGCACCCTTGTCTACAGCCAGCCTGTTTGGGGGGGGGCGGTGGCCCATTTTCAGGGTGAAGCCTCCAACACATTGGTGGAAAGCCAGCCACTTCCTCATCTGCCAATGGAAGAAGGCCTTTCTGCTTTGCCAGACCTCACAGCATGCACCCCATGTCTACTTGGGAGTAAGTCCCCTTTGTATTCTGTGGGGCTTCCTCCCAGGAAAGAGTCCCTTGGATTGCAGCCTTTCCCTCTAGGACAATATTGGAGACACAAACTTCTAAGCTGCACATGCATGCTATTTTCGTTTTCAAAGTGCATAGGTTTTTCACCTAAAGACAACCAACACCTTCCCTTAAACAAGGGCACCTAAGTTATCACCTTACCAGGCTCACAGTCCTGCCAAGCAAAAGCTAGAGTTTCCCTTTACCAGGATCATCACGCAAGCAGAGGGTCCTGACAAGGCCACCCCCGCCCCCCAAAAAAGAGGAAACGAGGCACAAGAGTTTGCAATACTAACGTTTTGTAGGGAGAACTGAAGTGGGGATCAGTGGCGTAGCGTGGGGGGTGCAGGAGGGGCCGGTCGCACCGGGCGCAACATCTGGGGGTTAGGGGGCGCAAATCCACGGGTTAGGGGGCGCAAATCACTTGCCCCGGGTGCTGACAACCCACGCTACGCCACTGGTGGGGATAGTCATGCTAGGAATCAAGACAGCTGTATGCTTTCTTTGGGTGGGGGTTTGTTTCGGTGGGGGCCACTCCCTGCACCGAGGCTGTATCTGTGGAGGAGGAAGAGGCGCCCCCAGTGGCGGGCCTACATTTGTGGGAGGGGTCCCTGAAGCTTGAACTGTTACGAGGGCCCCTTTGCAACCAGCAGCAAGGTTTGGGTAACCACTGTTATCTTCTTCCGCGACAGATCAGCACACCTTTGCAACATCTGTGCAAACTTTGGGATCGTTGAAATACATACAGCAAAAGAAATCAATCAAACTTGGCCTACTAGACCCAGATCTTATAAGCAATGTAGACTAAACGGGGGCCCTGAAGCTTCATTAGTTGTATCATAGTAGATCCACCCGCGGGGGCGCGCCCCCCATCTCCGCCCTGGCTCCCCAAAAGTCCTCCGGGACATTGAATGGGGCAGCTCCCGGCTGGGTGGCGAGGCAGGCAGGGCTGTGCCCACGGGCGCCTCCTGCAGGGGGAGGCCCCCAAGAGCGGGAGACCCGCCGCGCCCTCCAGCACCCTTCTCTTCGGGCGGGCCGGGGAGGCTGCGGAGGGCCACCGACAAGGGCGCCGGACGCCCTTGGACGCCACCCTACCTGGATCCGAGGCAAGGCTGGTCCGGCCACTTGGTACCTGCCCGGCGGAGCGGAGAGGGGCAGGGAGGGAGGCGTGTGGCAGCGGAGGGAGAGAAGGGAGGCGGGCCGGGCTGGCAGCCCCCGCCTGATCTCGCTCCGGTCCCCGGGAGGGAAGGGTCTGCTGCCCCCGCCTGCTGCGTCCTGCTCGCCGTCCTCGACGGGCGCCGTCTGCCCGCTTCCCGCCCCTCCTCGAACAAAAGGTGGCCCCGCCCGCGCGCTCCCGCGCGCCCCGCCCCTCCCTCCGTCCCGCTACCTACCTGGGTCCGGGGGCTTCCCTCCTGCAAGCCCACCCCTTTCTCCGGCAAGCTCCCACATGCCGGCCCGCCCCGAGGTGGAGGAGCAGCCCGCGCCAGGCAGCCAGATCAGGCCACCCAAAAACGGGGCGCCAGAGGTCGGCTGCCTCTGCTACTGACTGGGGGGCAAGATGCAGCCACATCGGGACTAGTAGTAGCCACGGAGAGCTACTTAGCCCCCAGCCGCCTCGGCATTTGCACCTTTGGAAGTCCTCTCCCCTAAGGCCAGCAGAAGAGACTTGCGCCTCCCTTGGACCCAAAGCGAGCCCAGCTAAGCCAACATGTTAGGAGCCAACATGTAGGGGCCAAGGTCCCTTCGCGCGGACCCCCTAAAATATTTAGGCATTGCCATTCAAATAGTGTGTGTGCACTGAGTCATGTGATCAATTATGCAGGGTGGGGCTTACCTGGGCCCCCCAATATTTTATTCCAAGTTGGCACCACTGCCCCCAAGGACTTCTCCTGGACCACACTCACTGATACCCTCTGCCACACATGGGTATCCAGGCCCTGCCATTGAAGCCAAGAAAAATGGGTTTAAATTCTCTTTAGCCCAGTGACCGCAAACCTTTTTGGACCTGGGGGCACATTTGAAATCCTAAGAAACACTCACAAGCACCGCCATTTCACAGCACGAAAACCGGCAATCCTCAGACTACACAAAACATCCTACACCAGGCATAGGCAAACTCGGCCCTCCAGATGTTTTGGGACTACAACGCCCATCATCCCTAGCTAACAGGACCAGTGGTCAGGGATGATGGGAATTGTAGTCTCAAAACATCTGGAGGGCCGAGTTTGCCTATGCCTGTCCTACACCCTACTCCCTAAAGAAGGCAGGTGAAACACAGACGAAAAAAGTAGGCACCTCACCCCAAGAACCCTAATTTATTCTAAATTAAAATTAGGAGGAACGGGGTACAGGATCAGTGGCTGCCAAGGGGGGAGGCTGAGAATGCTGCAGTGCCCGCTGGCAGCAGATCCCAGAAGAATCCTGCTGGAAAAGTTGATAAAGAGTCCCATCTAGGCCAGCACCTCACTGTGGCCAGCCAGTAGCCCCAAAGGGGAGCCTGTGAGTGAGACCTGGGCACAACAGCGGCCCTCTCCCCACTAGCAGCACGCTATCCAAGGACAAAAGGAAACAGTGCTTCAGGTGCTGTGGAACTCACCGCCACAGGCTATTGCAACGAAAGCCAGCTGGCATAAGAAGCAAGCGTTGCAAAGGACTGGGTAAGGTTGTGGGCCTAGTGTCAGTCTCTCTGTCTCTGGCGTCCCCCTCTCATGTCTTGGCCCTGAATCATCTTTGCTGCTCCATGGAGACCACTTCCCTCTATGGGAGACAATGTTTTCTCCAGCCTGGCCTTGCAAGGGGCAAGGGTACAGATGTGTTTCCCAACTCCCAAGCAGAGCTCAGACGCTGCGTGCTCTGAGTCACTGGCCAGCCTTGGAATGAACCTTTGCAAATATGCTCCACCGCAAACTACAGGATAGAACAAAGGCCTTCGACTCCTTGTGATATTTCACACAGGAATGTAGTGATACGGAAGGGGGGGGCATGTCTTCTTCACCTTCTTCTTCGCTACAATAAAGGTAAAGGTAAAGGTACCCCTGCCCGTACGGGCCAGTCTTGACAGACTCTAGGGTTGTGCGCCCATCTCACTTAAGAGGCCGGGGGCCAGCGCTGTCCGGAGACACTTCCGGGTCACGTGGCCAGCGTGACAAAGCTGCATCTGGCGAGCCAGCGCAGCACATGGAAACGCTGTTTACCTTCCCGCCAGTAAAGCAGTCCCTATTTATCTACTTGCACTTTGACGTGCTTTCGAACTGCTAGGTTGGCAGGCGCTGGGACCGAGCAACGGGAGCGCACCCCGACGCGGGGATTTGAACCGCCGACCTTTCGATCGGCAAGTTCTAGGCACTGAGGCTTTTACCCACAGCGCCACCCGCGTCCCATCTTCGCTACAATATATCCATTTATTTCCAATTGTCAATGTCAAAAGGGACTAAAATCTATAAAATTCATAGAAAATCAACGTGCCAATTTGCTCAATTTTTCTAGGACTCCATGACACCTCCCCTGTCCTCCATAATCCCTCAAGCAAGGTGTCAAGACCCTAATCCTGTCAAATCACTCTGCCAAGCCTTTCCTCCGGGCAATGCCAGGTGGCAGGCTATGCATACATGGACCATTGTCTTCTCATCACCGGTACTCAGGATGTGCTTATCATCCAGGGGGGCTGCCTGCTTCCAGTCCTGGAGTGGACATTCAGCCACCATGCGTGGCAACCTTTTGGAGGTCTCCATTTGGCACGTTTCGGAGACAAATTCTGTGAGATTTAGGCTGCAAGGCTAAGCAGGACCACCGCCCTCTCCTCCTCTGTGCCTCCTTCAGTCATTTTCTGGAGTGGGGCTGAATGTTTTTATTTCCTGGTCTGCAGTGGTTTCTTTCTTTTGTCCAGCACTCTTGCACGGAAGCAGCTGAGCTGTGTCAGCATTTGACAGCTCATTTGAGTTGCAGTGGTGAAGCCTTGAGTCAGCTTGAGCTGGCGTGGGGAGGAGGGAGGAGGTGGGAGAGCCATTGAGGATTCCCATATAAGCCTTGCTTTTCGCCAACCAGACAGGCAGACAGGAAGTGCAAGTGCGGGAGGCCTCCCCCCTCCACACATAATCGTGTATCCCCATGATTACGAGGGCTGGAGGCAAAGGGAAGGGAAGGGTGTGGAGCACAGCACTAAGAATATAAAGGAAGGGCATGCAAGATTAGGCTCGAGGCAGAGAAGGAAGGAAGGATTGATCAAACCCCGGTTTGCAAAGAGGCTTCTGGGTGGGTAGGTAGAGGGTGTTTGCACACACGAGGATTAAATCACTTTGTGGTTTAATCCGTCTGCAACAACACAGCCGTGGATCTGGCTCTGCCCAGCCAGCTTTTCCCACACTCCTGATAACGTACAATTCCCCCCATAGCTTCCTGAACAGCAAGGCATTTGTAGTACAAAGTGCAGCTACAAGTTAGTTAAGCACACTAAAGACCCCCACCCCCAAATTTCAATGGGTAAGAGTTAAGGACATGGGTAGGCAAACTAAGGCCCGGGGGCTGGATCTGGCCCAATCGCCTTCTAAATCCAGCCCGCAGATGGTCATGTTTTTACATGAGTAGAATGTGTCCTTTTATTTACTGTGATAGGAATTTACAACTGTAAAATGCATCTCTGGGTTATTTGTGGGGCCCTGCCTGGTGTTTTTACTTGAGTAGAATGTGTCCTTTTATTTAAAATGCATCTCTGGGTTATTTGTGGGGCATAGGAATTCGTTCATCATTTTTTTTCAAAATATACTCCGGCCCCCCACAAGGTCTGAGAGACAGTGGACTGGCCCCCTGCTGAAAAAGTTTGCTGACCCCTGGTTAAGGAGGTCCCTGGGTGGCTAGTCAATAAGAGTTAGACAAATGCACTGGGGATAAGGGCTGTCTGTAGCCACTAGCCACCATGACTATGTTCTACTTTATTATTAATAAAATTACTTTTGTGTTACCACCGTGTTATAAGTGAAAATCCGGACACAAAAGTTGTTGAGCTGAAATTCACCAAAATCTACACTTCCGACATGGGCTGCCATTTTCCCAGACAATTCAGCTTTTAAAAAACCCCACAATAATACAGATAATCGCCCAGGTGGCTGATGAACCCATGATTCAACAGGTAACAGGCCCTGCAGGTGCAAAAATGTATTCAAGAAGCGAGGTGGCCTTGGCTGAATCTCTGCTGGTAGGCAGACTGGTGACACTCCATGCCAACTTCTGGTTGGATAACCATTCTTGCAAGTTAGCCCCTTCATAAGTAACAAAGAGTATTGTCGGCTACCAAATGTATTATGGAATAAGCAGATACAGAAAGTGTGAGCCTCAGCAAGCATAGTACCTGGGTCTATTCAGTAGCGTCTGAGTGTGGAGAAGGAGACAATAAACTGAGGAGAGGGAAATTAAATTCCAAAAAAACCCCCAAAACCACTCAACAACAAAGCAACTCCAACCACAGGCAACATTTCACACATTGGACTCTGATCTACAAAAATCTTATTTCCATAGTATAATCCCATAGTTTTTCAGTTGCTCCAAGACTCATTTTTGATGCATGAATGCTATATCATTGTTAATGGTTTATTATTATCATCACCAAAGCGTGCTCTGGTCCATGGGGTCACGAAGAGTCGGACACAACTAAACGACTAAACAACAACAACAATTATCATCATCTTAATTTCTTACCTGCCGCTCACCGTCAGGATCCAGGTCAGGCTACAGGAGTTTAAAAACAGTTTAAAGCAAATTACAGTCATGCGGATAGGGCGGATCCTGAACACAAACATCTGTTGATCTATTGAGCTGAGGTGTCAAAGGCCAGGGAAAGCGGTGCGTCTTCAGCAAACAATTGAAACGACACACATAGGAAGATGCAGGAGGAATGACGGATGAGGGAAAGGGCTGGAGGGGGAACAACTTTATTTAGGAAGGTGGAGCATGAAAGAGACTCCAGAGTTTCACATAAATATTTGTTGTTGTTTAGTCGTGTCCGACTCTTCGTGACCCCGTGGACCAGAGCACGCCAGGCACTTCTGTCTTCCGCTGCCTCCTGCAGTTTGGTCAAACTCAAAATATAAGTCGCTTTATTCCAGTTTTTGTCAGAAGCCTTTGCTCCCTAGGCACACCAGCTCCTTCCTCAGCACAGTACTTTAGTGTTTATTTAAGACAAGGGGGGGGGACATTTTCAGCACCCCCTGCAACACACACACATGAAGAACATCATCCCTTGGTGCAATCTGCCCACTTACCAGCCCCTGTGTGGTCAGTGTGTGGTATTTTGGTGGCATTCCCATAGCAGGCTGACTTTAAAAGGGGTTGGCTGTTTGTTCAAGAGAGG